TATAAAATCCTTTCCAAGGAAATCACTTTTTCACTAAAATATGCAATTTATAATTTCTAAAATATCATGTGGAATGAAATAGGAAGATGTGATCAGCAACAGAATGATATATGGAATATGGTCACATCCCAGTACTGTTCTGTCTCCATACTTCAATAATATTTATAATAACTTTAAATCTTCTGTTGTGAAATATACACTTTGCATGATTTTATCTCTGTACGTAAATTCCTGAAAGATTCTGGTAGTCAAACAAGCTACTAATTAAGAAGAGACTATGTTCTAATCAAAACCAAGGAATTATATTATTATTACTGTTCCCTTGGGTTCCGAGCGGAACAAAGGGCTTCAATAACATACCTCTTCAGATGGGCCCACGATTACCCGTAATCTCTCATCTCCTCCATTTCACCCTGCAAGCGACGACCCACTCATCGCTTCTCATTACGGTTCCGCTTGAGAAATGGCCTGTATTGTGCGCGACGTCATTAGACGGTCGCCTCAACGTATGCAAAATCCATCTGCAATTTCTCTTACATATTTGTTGAGCAATCGGCTCTTCGTTAGTTTTCTCATCGCCAGAGCTTCTTTTTGCTAATTCATTCTGGCCGGCCAGCTAGCCATTTGACCTTCAATATGGAGCCAGTTAACAAAGGCTACTGGTGACAAAAGTCTTCAGTGGCCTGTCGAAAGTCCTTTTCGTGACACGCAGTGCAAGTTTCTCACCCGTACAGAAGAAGTGACTGACTGACTTGACATTTGTGTTGAAAATCCGAATCTTGTTCTTGATGCTGACCGAGTGATAGCAGATTTCCAAACTGGTTTCTGGTTGATGAAAGCGTATCTTGCCCTTCCGATTCTGCCTGACTGGCTTTGACATCTTCATCCGTGCCACTTACCTGTGGTTGAAACGATGCTTCCTAGATAAGTGAAGGAGGTAATCTCTGTTAAATCTCTCCCGTTGATGGTGATTGGTGCTGGTTGTTGCTGCTGTTGGTTGGTTATCTTCATCACTTCCGTCTTCTCTATGTTCACTTAAAGTCCTGTCTTCGCTGCCTGCTTCTTCTGCCAGTTTGTTGGTTTTCGTATGCTAGTAAGTCTTCGAGTTTGTGTGACATTAGACATAAATAATCCACATGTGAAATCCGGATCTTCTAGAGTCTTCTTATCGGCGGTCCAGCATATTCCTGTCTTCTCACTCCCTGTACACAGTCTGACGCATAATCCAGTCCATCAAAATTAAGAATATCATCGGTGATAGTAGACAGCATTGTTTACTCCTGTCTTCACTTTTAACGCCTCGCTGAGTTTTGGGTTGTGGATCACCTGACACGTAGCGTTGTCATATAACCAGCTGTTGAATGAGGAAACCAATGAATATTAGCAGATTATTTTTTCTAACAGTATTTTGCATACATCCTTATCTACTGAACAGTAAGCCTCTAGGAAAAGATCTTTTCTCGCCTGCAGATTTACTCAAATACCCCCTAACTAGTAATATGTCACTTGGATTCATTATGAATGCTTACGTATTACACCGTACATCCTTCTTTATGTACGAGGGTGTACTGTATCACTTTAACTTGCATAGGTCAAACTGGAATGAAAGTTTTGAATATGACACACGGAATTCTGGATAAACCAGAGTCATCTAAGGTGAGTTTTACAAAGTTAAACACTGTACATATCTATCAAAGATTGAATTAAAAGAAAGAATTATTTTGCGCAACACACTACTGAATATCAAACAATGAAAGAGAAATTGTCATTAAGCAGTATGTAGCTTGAATACTAAGGAATAAAACCCTCTGAACGCAACATTTTCTAACTTACTTTTGTCTCAACACCTTCCGATCATAATTATCTGGATATTTCTTGATGATGGTAACGACACTCAGTTAAACACGAAACTTCGGTGAGAACATTTAGTAATGTAAATGGATGACAGTGTATAATGGACATTAACCTCTGAGTTTCTTTAACAAACTAATATGATACTGAACAGGATTAATTTGGTGAGTGAGTGAGTGAATATGGTGATTGAAAAGTTTTGCGAAAAAATAGTTTTGCATGTCAAACAGCCTTAAACTAGCAGCGGATAATAGATAGGTGGGGTACACAGTATAAAATAAGTCAATAACGATTTTGTTTAGCACACCTTTACACTATCCAATTGACTGTTGCTTTTTGAGAAAACTTATAAACAGCGGCTAATAATTGCTACTATTACGTTGCGTAAATGGTTGACCTATTGATACAAGTGTTAAACTACTTATTAGTAGTAATAAAAATGCAGTAAAAGTTCTGTTCCTTCCTTTATTGGAATACGCTTTCTCCTATAGACCCAATTACATGAAACTATAAAATAATTTAATAATACATCGTGAACAACCTTTAACTTAACTAACATTGGTATTTGTATTGCTACCCTTGAAATGGCATACATTTTGAAATACTTTATCAGAAATGTTAAGTATCAGAAAGTTTGTTCATTATCACTGACATTTAACAGTTTGCTTCATGCTTCTATCGAAACAATTGCCCTGATGTTTGTCTGCAGAAATAGGGTGTTGTTAGCTGATACGAGAGATTATCAGTTTGCTTTAGGAACTTCACTTTGAGTAATGATGACATGTACTTCATCTTGATCTCATTTACAATCGAAGAATTAAATGTCATTACACACTCACACATGATTCATTCTCCACTAACAAACTTTATTAATCCAGTTAAAACTAAGTGATTTCTGAAAAATGGAATGATGTGACCTTTTCTGACTGATGGTAAGATAGCTAAATCCACCATACGGCCTGAATGGTGCTGGACTTTATTAGATCAGGAAGTGAATTTCACCACTACAAACATCCATTTGTATTTACGTGAAAGAAAATCGTCATTAGGACAAGTATGAAATAAGGGGGATTTGAGATTAGTTTCCTGCCTCAAACGCTAACAATATACAATGTCCAAGTCAATTTTCCAATCACAAGCAAAAGATGTTTCACCTACACATCATGCATGCCGCTGAAGTCAACCATCATCTGGGGAGGGGGCAACGAATTCCTTTGTGATAATAGACTGGCCCTATTCAGGCAGTTACCTGGGGTTCCAGTGGGAAGCTGTGACCAGTAGGGTACAGCAGGTTGAAAGTGAGGACAGTTACTAATCGAAGAAGACAATGCGAATTGGTTGCGCTATGTCATGAATTGGCAGAAGTTAGAATTCATGGACTGGCCATTGGATCGGGTCCAATGGCTTAATGGTCTATGAGCTCGCTCGCCTTGTAACCAGAAGGTCCTGGGTCCGAACCCTGGCAGTGGGTGCGTATTGATGGAGAGTCCCAATCCGGGACGAAACATCTGGCTGTTCAGTACTCTCAGGCTTTCCAATGGTTCTCTAACTGATATCAGCTAATGATGAAATCCTCCAAGCAATAGATTAGAACTGAATCACATACTGGATCTATCTGATAGTTGCTAACTAAAAAGAAGAGTCATCTTTTAGATCAAAAATAGGTCCTAAATAGCCTTTCTTGATGTAGAGCTGAAATGAAAGGTTGATGAAACTCTGAGGAATTCGATTCATAAGAAGCTGTTACTGTATATCTTACTGATGAATTCCCAAGAATTTTAATTATACTCCTTGCTGCTTGCACCTGAAATAATTTAAAGCTCTGATTTTACGGAAGACATAGGCCTCCTAAAAAAATTTATGGAAAATGTTTATTCCTGCCGGCACACACATAAAATACATCACAATGGAAGTAGGTTTGTCACCTTGATTTATTACCATGGATTTTTATAGCTTAGAATCAGTTCAGACGGGAAACATATATATAAATACGTAGGTCTCAGTGCATAATAACAGTTTACTGATACAAAGTTGATCATCAGTGTTATTCATAGAACTTCAGTAGATTTTCTGCAAGGACAAGTGTGAAGAAGCTCAGTTTTTAGAAGATCATTACTGTCAAATTAATTTAAATTGGAAATATAACTACTATACACTGTAAAATAATTAGAATGATTCTACAGATGGATCATTTGCGAAACAGATATGATACATCAATAATTCTGCCGAACAGTATTCAAAACGTACATCACCTCCTCCTTTTGGATTCATTCCAAATGACTGGAGACGCTCACACGCATGAGGCCATACTTCACTGGGAAACACTAACGGATCTCAGTAATCAGCCATTCACAAACAATAGATAAACAAAATGAAACATACCTTACTACTGTTGTGGCGAGTTCTACTGATAAGATTTATCAGTAGTATATATATATAAGGGTGTTCATTGGCATAAAAACATCAAAAACCAAGGATACACTTGATGTCAGAGAAGGCAAATGATGCAGAGTTGTGGAGATACATGGGAGACGTGAAAGGGACGCAAAGAAACACAATATGAAGACCAGAAGTACCACAACACGAAGATCTGTGCAAATGGTGTGTTGAAGATAAGGAATACATAATTTAGTTAAATAGAGCTACCAATTTCCCAATAAATATTCCTTTATCAATACCTTAAACAACTGGACAACAGCAGAATTAATGATATACGGCTGGGCACTGAGCCGAGGCGAACGTGATAGTCAGAGATATTCATCTAATCGTTCAAATTTTAGCACAGAACAGATCATAAACTCTCCAGTTAAAACCTGAACAGATGCTTCGTCCTTATTTCAGACTCCTCATCAGTACGCATTCATTACCAAAGCAGAGATCGTACTCAGGACATTCAGGTTACAAGGTGAGCTCGTTGACCAGCCAGCCACTGAGTTAAAGTTGAATGGCACATCATATGAGCACCTTGAACGGATGCCTCTATATTATCATGATTATGAACTTGAAATCACTTGTTTAGTGGTGGCTACCAACGCATCTTGGATTTCTCTACTTGCTACCATCGAATATCTAACTTTATGATGATTAACGTCGCTGAAAAGACGAATTTTACCTTTCAAAAATTAACTACTAATCAAAAAGACAAAGACTACACAGTGTAAACGTTTTGTAATAAGATTGTAGTTACTTAGAAAATGTACAATATTTGTTTATTTACAAATTATTCAGAAATTATAAGTAATGTATGAATAAATAAATAAATAAATAGAATTATTGTTTATCTATCAATGTTCCACGAATACGTCTTTGTTGGGCTTCCTCATTAGCCTAAAAAATTATGATAAAAAAAAGAGAAAGTAGAAATTAGGAAAGGCAAGTAAAACAGGTGCTGATGTGGCACTATCCAGTAAAGTTAATCTACCATATTATCTTGTGATTAAAATTCATTGCGTGTAACTGTTAGATGTTGGGAAGTTCTAGCTGACCTGGATTTTATGCATTTTAACACATCAGTATGGAGTATCTATAAATTTAAACAAGTCACATTCCCTTACAGATTCAAGTCCCAATCAATCAATGGTAAAGTCATAGAAATCACTATTAAGCTATCTAATGAAGTGGCATAAGAAAATGGATACTTTATTATTTAAGAAAGTAATACAAGATAAGGTATACACTATAGCATCACTCAGTTAATAGAACTGATAAATGAGCGAAGGTACAGCAGTCATTTCTGTCCAACTGGTTATATTAGTGGTAGGGTGAAGTGGTTCAGGATTTTAAATCTAATTGCAAGAAAGTCATGCAGAATGAAGTATTAATATTATGGAATACAATACTGTAACCTGCAGACAATCTAAACTTCAGTCAATCAATCAAATCAACTCAATGTCAGCTGACAACCACTTACAATTGCATGTAGTTCGTAATGAGCCACATCTATTGTATGAGAGCTGGTTATACTACCTGAGGCTGCCCAAACCTCAGTGTGTGGAACGAGGTTCGAATCTGTAACCCACTGGTTGCAAGCTGGGAGGCTAGACCAATGAGGCACAGCTCCACACAAACACACACTTCCTGAGTTGTATTTCAAGGGGATTTCACACTGCTCACATATAGAAACTGGTTTTCTGTGTAAGAAGAAGCTCACATTGATTTCTATAATAAAACAACTAAATATAGTTGGTTCTAAAAGTTGGTAATCACTGAAATGTTAGGCGTACGTACTATAACAAGAGTTATCACATCAACTGGATAATACAAAGAGAGTGAGACACAGTGGTTTCGAACTCATGATTGAATAAAATATAGTCTAATATTTAGACAACTTAATAACAACAAAAATACTTTAGTTTTAAAATATCTTTAATTCCATTCAAACACTTTGAACATTTATATCAAAGAGGATAGAATCGAATAATTTATTTTTACCTCATCTACTAATCGCCGTTTTATAATACCACGTCGAATCATCTCTTGTTCTATTACACGTGCATTAGCTGCATATGAGTCCGCGATTTCTTTTGCTTCAGCTTCCTCTTCTTCATCTTCAATAGTAGAGACAGTAACAGCTGTATCAATTCCTTGAGTTGTTTCTTGTTGTTGAACACTACGACGTAATGGAGCATTATTATTTGATGCTTCACTCTTTTGAAGAGCAGCTGCTTCAGCAGCTAGTGCTTCAAGTAATCTAGCATTGGCAGAACTTTCATCAATACGTTTCGAGGAGGCTGGTCGCTTTGGACATAACATTGATGCAGACAATGCAGCTTGATCATCTTGGAGTTTCAAAGCGTTTTTAATGATGAATTCAGTCTGTTGAAATGAAAATATGTACCAACAATTGAATACTCAAAAAGACAGGTTTGAATTAATGAACAGTATTTCTGATTTTTAAAGTGTGGGGTGGATTGAAACGAGGTCAATTCGTTTATTCTTATTACCTCTAGTCAGGTGATTCTGGCTATTTGTATTTGAAGAGTTCCCTATGTGAGACATTCTCCAGTGGAGATCAGGCTCACTGGTTCAAGTATTCGGCTTTCAAAAAGTGAGGATAGGTTTCAACTTCCATTTCACCTACTTCAGACTTGAAAATTGGGTAGTATGGCGCATAGCCTGGTACATGAAAACCTGCTCCAGGCAACTGAGTTCTAAAAACTAAGAGACATTCCTCATAATTCTTGAAATCTTTCTGAACAGTTAAATGCAGTCAGTCACTTGCTAATTACACATTTCGAGGTGGAAATCCATCACACTTCGTTTAGGAACTACTAACGAGATCAGCTTACCGACCTGCAACTATGATGTGTAGAGCTACTTTTCGAATGATACCAGATTCTACGGGGTTAATACAGATGATTTAAGTCGTTCATTCGTTCTAAATGTGATTGAACGAGAAGTTTACCTTATGAATTAAACACGATATCACTTCCACTTACCCTATAAGTTAACTTTATCAATACAAATACGATAAGAATTACACGAAACATGTCTGAATTTACATTTATCATAACATACATATTTCTACATACTTATTACTTATCAACTACTTGACAATGTTATAATATTTATGTAAAGCAACGCTAGTTGACTTGCTATATATAGACTTTAATATTGTGAATTTTTAGCGCACCATTACTTTGACAAAGCTATTAGCATTAAATAGCGAAACTCCAATAAAAAAGTAAGGCCTTTTTGATTTTTCGTTCACTGAAAAATAAAAATCTTTAACCGATGATAAAATTTTTAAACCAATAAATCCGAACTTGGTTTGGACATCTTCTAAACAAGATAAGCATCACTTAATGTGCTCCTACACAATTTAAAAGTTTAAAAGATAAACAAAAGGCAACTGATTTGACAACTGAGGTTGAAATCGTGTTGTTTACTGTATTAGCGTTTACGATTACCAATGAGCTTGGTAATGAGTAGTACAGATTGTTTGAGGGCTAGTGATATCAGCTAGTTCCTCAAACTCCAGTAAATATAGTACTTAGGCCAACAAGCTACAGCTCTGAAGTAAACACTATTAGAGCACGACGCATGAATTAAGCACACAACCCTTGTCGTACCAAACATTAAAGTTAAACAAAGTTATAGTGTTCTCTAAGAAAACCATAATAATCTTGAATACTGCTAATGATACATCGGTCAGAATTCATTATTAACACACAGACCATATTTTGGATGAGACAAAATACGTTTAGGCAAGAGCTACTGAGTTTCTGATAAAATGCTCAGCTTAGAGATGTGGCCAACATAGCCAACAACCTACCGTGACTAGGGAGGCTAAGAAAGGGAGTTCAAAATATGGCTTTCGGAATTTTAGTTTGTCGGTTAAGAGATGGTTCCCATGTTCGGCTATTTACAATAACTGACGTAGTACTAAACGATCAGTAGAGGAAAATAGACTCTCCAGAAGCACATTTTTAATCTTTCTAATGATTTAGACCAAAGGAGCATATGTTATCATTTCGAAGACCTCATATTGTAGATGAAGTCACTAAGGGTATGTTTAATTTCATCTTGATTTTGTTATAGAACCAATGGAAACTAAGACAAAAATAGTGAATTTAATGGCAGAATGCAGACACTAATTGTACACTAGACATTACATGACCCTTTTATGGTCAATATGCATAACATGTTAATAGATTCAAGAGGTTACAACAATCAAAGGAATTTGATTCCTTTCATGTTAAACCAAGAAATGACCATTTTTGGAACCATTGATAAGTCAGAAATTTTGATTTCATTACTTTAATTATTCGTTCAATCTAACCCTGATTCAGCTACAACGAAGTAGATAGTAGCTTAGTATTCGTAATACATGCCCAAACTATTTTAGTAGATGAAGGTACACAACTATATCGAGCTATTTAAATTGACCACCCATTATTCTACACCTTACGTATACATCATTTATACAACGCTTCACAGAAAACACTGAGAGAATATCAAGAGCATTTCTAGATACCTAAACATTATTGACTACATTTCGAAGTCACGCAGTCCATAGATGTACGATTAGTCGTAAGTAGAAATTCGGCAAGCAAACTGAAGTCACAGTTGGAATACTTTGGGAAAATCAAATATTTTTCTCCATATGATAAGAGTCCTGGGTAGGTAGGTGCATAGCTAAATAGTGTTAGCTTTAGAGTTACCGTGAAAAACATGCAACTCATCGAATTCTTAAAGCATAAAACTTAATAAGTACAAAGGTTGTAGGGCTAGTCAATTTTATTTTAATTGGGCCTCGGTGGGTACATCAGCACTCACTGGGAAATGCAGGTACATCCAGATGACGAGTCCCAAATAGGACGAAATGCGCATCCTGGATTCCACTGCTAATCACCATCCACCAATTAAATTCTAATCAATCGATTTTATCTTACATCAATCAGCAAATATTTTCCCATAGAGGTGAACCAGAGATAATTGGCAAATACCAACGGTATATTGGGGTCGTCAATGTAATAGTGTATAAATAGTCCAGTCGGCATACAATACACGCAGTAGTTGTCAATTTTCCTGACTGTCAATTAATTTGATCTTTGAGAACAAGCAAAACTGTAGCGCGACCAGGTAGTTCTTATTACGAAATATCAGTCAATGGTAGCACGTTAAATAACTTCACGTCTATTGATCAGTCAGCATTATAACAACCCATTTAATGAATTCAAAAAATTATCTACATACTACTTAAACTGCTTTAAGAGATTTTTGTATGCTAATCTCTCAACGTCATCCGTATACATTTAAAGTCTAGTGCAACAATAATTATAAATTAGTAACACAGGACGACTTAAACACAAATTAATTCGTATTACAATTATTAGATTTTACAGCCGCTTAAAATTACCGTAGAATTTTGAGCACTATGACGATAAAAGATAGGTAGTCCACAACTTTTGCAATATCTCCGAAATTGCTTCTCTATACCATTTGGCCAACGTATGTAAACTGGAGTGAGTGGATTAACAGCTGTAGCTGTTGTCTTATGTGCACGTTTAGAGCCATCAATAACTCTAGCATCGTCTCTGGGGCGCCTGGGTAATTTCTCCACTAAACAATCGATTATCAGTGACATTTGCCCGCAGATACATGAGTAAACAAACAACGGTTTTTCACTCCCATAATTGTGTCGTGGTTTGGAGTCGGTTACAATATGTGTTGCTCGTTTGCGTACTCGTGGTTTATGATCTTTGTTCATCACCTGATGTAAAAAGAAAGAAGCAGACAAATAAAATAAAGCAAAATGAAACAGGGAAAGTAGTAATGAAAGCTGGTTGCTAGGCTAACAACCTGAGTATTGGTAATTTACTAATAGAAATATCAGTCAGTTAAATGTGGATATCCGTTATCACACCTAACCTTGCGTTTGGTGGTTTTAAACATAAGAAATACATTCAACTCATGCTCAGGTTTTATGGTTTCTGTTTCCGCGAATCAATTTTGTATGCGAAATCAATACATTCTCATACAACCAGTTCAAACTAACTTCAAATAAAAATCAGGCCGCTCTTAGCATGTATATCCATGACTGTAGAGTTACCTATTAAGACGAAGAAAATCATTGTAACTATATTCCAGAGTAAAATTAATGTTCTATGGTGAAAACTAGTGATGCAGTTATTACAAAATGCGAAATATTGATATCAGTAAATGTATTGATCCAAATATTTACAATTACAACTAAAACAAAGACGAAGACTTGACTTGAGCGCTAAAAATATTGGAATTAGAGTTAAAAAATCGAAATACTCAACAACGATCCGAAAACACAAAGTACTTATTAGGTAGGGTATTAACCAAATTATCTGACAAAGTGATTTTGAACAGTCGACTAATTGATGAACCGAATTTCCTGTGTACAATGACAATGCAGTAAAATTTACGTAAATCAATTGTTTCCTAGCACGAATCCAAATAAAAAAAGTGAGGTTCATTTAGACTACCTTAATTTGAACGTACAAAGAATAAGTGTTATTTTCGTAACTTGCAAACAGCTCTCAAAATTCATGATTCAGTGATTTATGACAAATAAGTACGAAAAATAGCTGAAGTGGATAGAGTGAACGGCTGCATCGTAAACACTGATGGGTAGCCTCATATTATAACTGAACCAAAGATGGCCTATATTGACAAATGGAAAAAGAGCCCTTCATATCCGTTAGGATTTCGTCAGCCATCGAACAATTACAGCTAATACAACTTCTCCACTAAGTGAAATGGTCAGCACATACAAACATTTCACTCCCTATCCTTAAATTAAGAGTCGATGAAGACCATTCCTTAAACAATTTAGATTTTAAAAAGACGTCGCACTACATAACCATTCTCGGTTTTACTTGCTACTCTTAAAACCCACATTTCTCCAACTTTTTTACCTACGTTCCCTGAATGCTTTAAGTGAACAAGGCTTTCTTGGAAGTAGGAGAATCTTTGAAATATCAAATTCACTCATTCATATCTATACGTAAATTTATTATGACCACGGTATATTCAATTCCAAAACCGAACAAGCATGGCAATAGTGAATGTCACTAGTGACAACTCTTCACAAGCAATTACACGTTCGCATGATTTTTACCTAAATGTTTTAGTTGATGAAATTTATCTCGGCACTTCACCTAAATGCAGACATTTTCAGAGCAACTCCATAGAGGGGTCAAATACCACCCTCAATTAAAGCAAGATGCAGAATTTCGGACTCCTAAAGGCATGCCCATGGATTTCAGAATCTCTTGAAAAGTAAAGAGACAACCAACACATAGTCATCGAGCCTGAAGCATCTCGGCAGGGAATTTATGTAATCCCCAGTTATGTCAAGTCCTCTTAGGTCTAGAATCCAAGATATTCTGTCAATAATGTTCAGGAGATGTATTTGCCGAACATGACTACAGTTAGAGCAACGATGGACACCTAGGCTACCACCGATGGTGGTTTCGACTTCTACAGGGTGGGATTCGTCTCCTTATTCATGCTAACTTCGTGATAGGCGTCCAAAACATGCCCCTCAAACTGGATACAAAGACAATTTTTTACTTGCAAACGCGCAAAGTGATGAGCAACACGATGACTATATGCATAAAACTTACCGTAACAAGCAGAGCAGCAGGTTGTGCAGAGGACGTTTAATTCAAAAGTGCGGTGGTGTAGACTTACAAACAGTATTGCCTTCGCTGCAGATTTTGTATCTACTAGTCTTGACTCCCAAGGAAAGGAAGTAAAACACTGACTAGTGTTTACCACATAAGTTTCGGCAAATAACCAGGGGTAACGCAAAGTGTGAATGACGCGGTAAATCACTGGTGAATCAATATCCATAATCAGCTTTGCAATCTTGTGTTCATATTGAGTTTGCTATTTCGTTTCTTTGTGCTCGCTTACTGGTTGCGGGGCAAAGATTCCTGGGCTTAATTAAATTTCTGCATAGTTTAACCCGCCACTCGACTTTCGTAGCTTTGGAATGTTGTTGGAATTAGTAATGTGTGGTTTACAGCATGCAGTGTTTTAAAATCATTCTGCTACTATGAATGAATTTGATCTTTTCGCCCCTTAGATTTGATTTGATTTTGATTTACAGCTTGATTCCACACCGTATTTTCAGTACAAGTGTGGAATTTTCAGCATGGATATCGGTAGCCCAAATTCAGGCCGACCATAGATATCGGGTGTGTGCCGGCAGGGGATCGAACCCCGGACCATGTGCATGGTTGGCGAGAGTGGTTGAAAATAGAGGTTAGAATAATAATGTTAGATGTAATTTGTATGAACTCTGCAGACATTAAAAGAAAATGCAAAGATGGCTAATGAAATCTGGTCGATATATATATATATATATTTATATATCATTGATAAAATTTGAAGCAGTTAATAGATGGATTAGTCAGAAGAGTAGAACAATGGAGAATATCAAGTGGTAAGACGAGTTTTGGTGTCTACTAAAAATAGTGCGTGAGTACTAAGTGGAAAGACCGTCTGAACGCAGTAATTGTACGCCTCTTGAATGTCCAGTCTTAGCTTATAGCTGTCCATGGATGAAACAAAAGCTATATCTACCGGTAGAGAGTACCAGGAGTGACAAACCCATAGTGAAAAGAAATGGGAGCACACTTGAACATCTGCTCCCTGTTAAGCTATCCTTCGTGGATGGACACGAGGAAGCCCATATATAATTAATTGCAGAAGACCTTTGTATGGGTCACTCTGTTCATTTGTAATCTTATGAACAGTAATTATTAAGTCCCCCCTAAGCCAACAGTGTGGAAATATCTAATCTGTTTAGTCCTCCATTATATGGTTTTTTTCAGAAATTCACCACCAGTTTTGTCCCCCGTCATTGGACTGTTTCCAAAAGATTAGCGCCTCTTCGAAGCATTAGGGGGAGTAACGATATCATGCACTTCAATGTGTGGTCTTAAATACGTTTTGTACAGCCTGAGAAAGAGCTCAAGTGTGACTGTACTTAGCTGTCTATTCGTAAAGTATGCAACCATATATGACTTCGCTACAACGACCTTATAATTCACGCTTGTGTCCTTATTTCTGTTAGAAATAGACCTTAACCGAGCTCAGACGCTGTGAAGGACAAGCAATAGTTACACAGGGAGTATTTTACATTCCTCAGCCTATAGGCACCTAATTACACTACTTTGCATTTTTTCAGGTGGGTATATAATTTAGTACCGACTGGAAGCGAGATTACTAGTATGAAATAATGGCAAACATCACTCCGAAAATCCATGCCACGTATGTAAGAAGGAAGGAGACAAATAATTAGGGGACAAGTAATTGACTGACTGGTGAATCTGCCTACCAGAATTAGAAAATTTATGTAAAAATGTTGAACCAGCTTCCTTGACAGGCTGACAGAAAGAGAACATGCTGCGGAGGGATAGCGGCACCAACCCCTATAGCTTCATTCAAAGACATTAGAATATCTTTGATAGTTGTGATAACCCTTCCATGCAATAAATAATGTACGAACAGTCAGGATATAGCTAAGATAATTCCGAGTTCAGTCTCCGTCATCATATTCATTTTCACCAGAATAGTTCAAGTTATCTGTACTAAATTAAATGCTTAAGAAAAATCTGCCTATCGTCTTTTGAGGAATACCTGTTCAAACGTATCTTTGCTGATAACAGTTTGTCAAGCGGTAGATTTTGGGACCAGGTTTACCATGAATAGTGAATTTATATGCCTATAACTAGACTCTAAAGCATTAAGAAAAGTGAAATCTAATTTAGATATGAGTCGTTTGCTGAATGTTTCAGTCAATTTATCATCTACTTATTTTCGTACTCAAAAGTTTAATTATTGTACTCTTGAATGTTACAGGACGCAGCAGCTTTCAAAATAATGCGTTACCAAACAACGTATGATTTTTCAGTCTAATGTATCATGATATACTGGTATGTATTTTGAGCGCTGCATCACGCACTATTTTCCCAAATGCGTGAGTAAAACAAATTTTCGTTTAGCTAGTCAAACCATACGCTTAGTAACTCTACGTTAACAGGCAGCTAGTAAAGGATTCCAAAGCTCATTGGCCCACTTCGTAACCTAGTTCTTTTTCGGGGAATCACATTTTAAAACTTAGCTTATAAGTGTAGCATATTTATTAAGATCCACTTTACTTTAAAAGTGGCATATCATTATCGAAAAACTCATAAAACAGCCCTATTGATTTCTGTCTCATTTTCTGGCGAACGCCCCAATGACCTTGGGCGCATGCCAGTCTTTGGTTAATGGCACCTGTCATTATCACAGCTGGAATATCAACGCTATTGACCAACTACGGAGCAAATTTCACCCAGACCACGTTTTTAAGTACTATTTGGTCAATGGATTAGTAATAATAATAATAAGGTTAGGATTAGGGTTAAGGTAAGTATTGGAATTAGAATCAGGGTCATAATTAGAATTACGGCTAGGATAAGGGTTGTAATTAGGGTTAGGGTCAGGATTAAGGCAAGGGTTACGATTAGGGATAGGTTTAGAGTTGAAGTCATTTAATTTGTTTTCTCATCCACATTTTCCTGGTAAGTAGTCGTCGCTCCTCTCACTGGAAACCATAGTAATTCAGCCGAGGGCTTTAAGGGAAGACTGCAGAACAAGATGACAGAGATTAACGATTCAAAAGACATCTCATCTTCTGTCACGTCGGTGAATACATGCACAGAAACTATTCTAACTTAACAACTAATACTCCTGATTATAACTGGGACGTATTTTTAAGTCATGTCACACAAAGATACCCTGCTTTCCGTGTTTTCATGCATTTTCTTGTAAATATACGTCATCTTTTGTGCGAAAATTCCCCATTTTTATAATTCGTCGGCTGAGGGTCACTTGTGCGTTCGCATCCCTTAGGACTCTTGTTGAACTTTGCCCTTTTGCCGTAGTGTTTCACTTTCTGCACCCATATCTTTGTAGTAACGTAGGCCTTACAATCTCCTCACATTTTCTAAAGTCGTCTGGCATCATAGTACCACAAAAGCTTTTAAAAGGAATTGATCTAGTACATAAGATTGGTAGAATGTTTGTTGTAAGTGTAATTGATTCTCACTAATTTTTTTCGCTTATTATAATTACATCCAGCAAAGAAAAGCTAGAGACCTATTAAAAAGTGAAGTAACTTGAACGATGAGTGAAAAAATGGCTAGTATTATGATTCCACTAGTAATTTTTCCAAAATTTCTACATTACCCCCCGAATTCCCCCAAATGTTTTTATTTGGGTGAATTCCAGCTACTCAGTCGTTTTATATAATTGCAGTCTGATCAAAATTCTGACGTAGGACATATGTGTCATGATGTTTTATGGGTATTTATGTAGTTTTAGACAAGGTAAGCAGTTTAGGTGCTGATATAATGCTAAATGTATTGAAATATGATGACTGGATGCTGTTGATTAAACGAAGGAAATTAATGGCTGGCTATCTTTGTAAGGAAATATCCTTCATAAGTTAAATAACTTGACCTATATGGTGTCTAAGTTTTCATTTCCATCTGAGCTAGGACTCATGAGCAGTCAGCTGAAAATATTTGCTCATGATTGAGTACGCGGCTTTCAAAACCTTAAAACTCTGACCACTCCAGACATGGATGTGCGCCATATTTTTAAGACAAGAGAAAAAACTTTATCTGGCCAACATATTAAATTTCTGGGTTACACTTTATAAGTGTCAGGTTATTCTATTGTTAATTCATTGGACCTAGTGGTTTATTCCCAACTTGATTTTGGTGGATGGACATTTGAGTAGTATCTGGTCAAGTTACTCTGTAACAAGAGATGATTGTGCTATCAATATTTGTGATCTCTAATTATGCGTCTTATAACTAGGAGTAAATGAATGAAATAAAAGGATGGATTTCACCAGAAGCTATCATCCTGTCTGTAAAAGTCAAGGACACAGATATAGACAGAGAAGCAGGTGTTTGCAATTTTTAAGTAGACAGACCGAGTCAGGTGTAAGGTATATTCGGTAGTATCTACAGAATACCATGGTGAATAACAGGTGATGGGGATTATCTCTTATACTTCTGTTTACTGAACCACACGTTCCTGCCTAACACCAACTTAAGACGTAGCTATGGATATCGTCTCACTTGGTAACACCACACTAAGAAACCATTATTATATAAATCATAGAGTTGGAGTAATTTGCTACTCCTTTTGAAACTCTTGTATGAATTCTAGTCATACTTTGGTTCGTCCAAATGCGTTTTCGTAAGTGGATGAGTTTCAAAAGCAAGTAGTTGCTAGGTAAGTGTAGGCTGAAACATTATCTTTCTTAATTTGAAGTTATCTCCGTGGTGCAACCACTGTACCATTGTGGTGAGAGCAAGCTGCTAGCCAATTGGTAGACATTGATCTACGCTGATTGGTGGAAATTAATCTAGGCTGATTCAACAACCGATCACAGCTGACCTAGACGTGGACAAATATGATTCGCAGACAAGTGGCTCGCATTTCCGAGAAATATCGAAAACGAGAAAGCAGAAGACTGCGTTTGTTTGCAAACAACCAATCAGAAGACCGCCTTCTTTCTGCGGGCAGAAGCCTATTAATGTACGTAAAATACATATAAATACCTGTTGGTTTTCGTAATAAAACTGATCTGTTGCCTGGCCCTTGTCTTCTGTTGTTACACCATGAGTTAAAACTTTTCTCTACATATCGAAGTTTGGGTACCCAGACTGTATCATTAAGTTTAAATAATCGTTATCGAGCTACGTTTCCATTGACTTGAAGGCAACACTTAATCATTGATTGACTGGTGTTTTAGTAATTCCGATCTGTGAAGAAAGTCCCGAGTATATGTGAGTGTGCGTTGCTAATCAGGATCTGCACTGGATCTCACGCAGCTGTATGAAAACCTAGAGATAGTTATTCTTTGCGGTGATAACTATTAGCGTTCACTTTCGGACACCTGGTGTTACCATATTTGTCTCGTGCATCAGAATTACTGATGACTTTTACTGTATCGTTTCGGCCTCACAGGGATCGACTTGCTACTAAGGGGGGAGGTTGGTTGACTTGGAGTACTCAAACGATATAGTTTCTTAAGGTGAAAATACTGACCAATACTAAGATCCTCAGGAAACCCTGAGCAATAGTGTGAATATTTTTGGCATGCGATACTGTTATCAAATGTAAGGTGATTCTACAAGATAGGTCGAAAGCGATTTCAGTACAGAGGCATCGAGCTTGCTTGACATTAGCCAGCTCGCATCATTCTTGACTGACTCGCAGTGTTGAGATACACATCAGATAGTGTGTGTTACTCAACGGTTTTCTTCGTCATTCTTAACAATTTGAGGATATGAAAAGAATGTAGGTTTTTGATCATAGACGTCTTCGTTCACTTGCTAACATTCAATGAGAAAACATAGTAGGAATGAAATCAGACGTAGACGTAGGTAAAGAAGGGAAGTTAACTGAGGACACTCTGAGTCTTCATCGATTATCGTGTCCGGAAACATGCTTTATCCATGTCGCGCCATTGTCTTCCTAAACCAGGACCAAATTGGGAAGACCAAACCATGGTACCAGTCCATAAAGACGTTAACAACAATGAGAAAGTGTGTTAACGCAGAGTGTAAAGAAATCTAACTGTGACACATATAATCACCTAGTGTTCAATTCTATTTGATTTGATCATTCGTATTTAGTACTACAAAATTCTGAAAAGCTTCAAAAAGAGTTTTATAAAGTTAATTTGTTGATTTCTTTTAGCCCGATTGAATAAGTTGTGCTATTTTAAATGATGTCTAGTTATTTCACATATCTACATAAATGTCAACCGCCGACTTAACTATTATTTCAGAAGCTTTAAACTGTGTTTATGCTAATATAGTTTCTTTTTCTTTCTTAAAGATTTTGGATCACTTGGAAAATTGCTTAATTCAGTCATTATTTGAGTGTCTGACAATACAGTCAAACTTAGTACAAAAACATACTGCTCCGCTTGTTCAGCACAATGTCTGGATTTTTTAATTCATACCGAATGTTTGCTTGGTCGGTTGGTAGGCGGTGGTTGTCATCAGAAAGTTTCGAGAAGAGTTTACTTGAAACAGAAAGAATTCGAACTGTTAGTCCACAGTCGGTTCATTGGTTTCCAGGACATATGCATAAAGGTATGGAGGCTATCCATTCTAAACTCCCACTTGTTGATATTATCATTGAAGTCCACGATGCAAGAATACCTTTCTCGGGTAGACCAGAGTTTTTTCAAAAGTTTGAAATGGTGAGGAAGGATAAATTCATAATTTTCGTTTAATCGGTCAACTCAATTATTTTTAAATGTTACATATTTTGTTAATTACGTCACTATTGGGCTGTGCAAAATACTGACTACATTTCTCCACAACACTGTAAATGTATAAATCCGTATTTTAGTTAATCTTGTCCTTCGCAGCTTTGTACAATGGACTATCAATTTTTAGCCACCATAATTTCCACAACCACCACAGTTGTTTTAGCTGTAGCATTTAAGCATGAACATGAATCAATCATTATGTGAGTTGAATGCCGTCAGGGTGAGTTTTTACATAGGTATGACCTTGTGGATTAACTGTTTGTACTATCATAATGCTTTTATGTGCCAAGTTTATCTCTCGTTTGGGTGGCTTTCAAAAGGAAGTACAATGATTCCTGTGAGTCCCTCACCAGAAATATTGCATAAAACTCAAGCAATATAGTTGTTCTGGTATGTGCGTACTTATGATAGGATCAGCATCTGTCAATCACTAGCGATTTCTCCGGATTATCCAATTCATCTAGAGAAAGAAGTATGCTATTGATGAGTAGGTAATATGTTGACCCACTACCTTCAGATAAGACTGGAATACTGAGAGATGCCTGATGTCCTCATTTTTGTTTAATTCCATAGATGTATTAATTGATGTGATCTTAATAGACTCAGTCTATCTAGGGATTGACTTATTACTGGGGATCAGTCTTGTCGATTTAGAATATGTGGTTGATATGGTTTTGGATGAAGGCGCTGAAGAAAATACATTTTCCGAACGTCTTAAGAAGTCTTGGTAAGATTCGCCCCCATGAAATGTAAGATGATGTTGCAAGACTGGTTTGCACCGACACCTAGTTTGTAGATAGAGTGTAAAGTTGTTTAGTGTGTTGACCACTCCACTTATGTGGGAGGTTGCAGCAGCCTCAATGGACTGATTACTGGTAAAGTTGCAGCACAAATACAAAATGCTCGTGTGTTATTTGCCAATCTACGTCATCTCTGGCGTAGACGTGATATCCGGCTATCTGTCAGAGGTAGTGTGTATTGCGCGGTGGCTTTCTCTGTGTTGTTTTACAGCTGTGTAGTGTGGGCGTTAGCGTGGCTGTTTTTGGTCTCAGATGTTTACTTTTTAGAGTGTTAAGTGGTGTAATATGTTGAGTATTATTGAAGTTAGGCGTAGAGTGTAAGCAAGGTGGGCAGGTCACCCGATGACGTTGTGAAGCCGCATCTATTGAGGTGTCTAGGACACGTGTTTTTTGCATGTTGTACCACCTTCGTCGAACGGTATTGGCTGGCATAGGATTAGGTTAGAAAATAGTTAGGGATGGTCAAATCAGAACATGGCATCAATTCATTAAGTATATGAATGTTAGTTTGAGCCACTTTAAGAATATGTAAACCGCTTCAGTGGGGACCTTGGTATGCTAAGAACCAATTACTGAAGACTATTGGTGATATGGCTCAAAGTCGTTTTACAGTGGCACAGGTATTTTCACCCTTTATAATCTCCCAGATTCATGAGATGCTCACGGTTCTCAATGTAATTTTTCTTCCTCATACATATCTGTCCATTATGGTACTTTCTGAACTTTTTTCCTCTCTGCTTTTTGTGCTATATGGATTATTGCAACTTAAACTGCTTCACTTTTGTGCAAAATCCTACGATGAGATTTAGTCATCTGATGGACGAAATAATAATAATAATAATAATAATTTGCTTTATTCCAAAACAGTACTTGTGATACAGAATGGAATTCTCAGCATTTTTACTACAGTATTGCATCCAGTTAGTACATTGCCAATAAATAGAATTCTACATAGATTGAGGAAACCACAGTTCATTATTACAACAATACATTGGCATGTTCAGTAGCAAAGGTAAAGCTGAAACAGTGTTTGAAGGTGTTAGAAAAGTGGGAGCTGTCTTATTAACTGGCGTAAGCGAAAGAAAGAGACAAAGCAGCACATAACGGAAAAAGAAGAGAGAGAAAAGGAACAGAAAGAAAGGAAATGTTGAACCTATTGATGAAGTGGGTTGGAAAGATGAGATCCAGTTGTACTAATGACTATTTAATGAATTAACTATTTAATGAATTAACTATTCCCTTGATTCAAAGCTTTTGGGTGTCTATAAGACGTGGTGACTAGATCAGTTGTGGTGTTACTTTTGGAGTTCATGTCGATATAAACCTCTCATATTATTCTTCTTTCTAAGTAAACAATGGGGACACACTAATTTAGAGGGATTCACAAAAGTGCTCTGGTATTAAGTGCTATACTTCGAATTAGCACACATTAAAGGAAATTTATGGGAATCATACTATTATAGGTAGCCATAAGTAAAGATAATGATTAGATAAAAATTGTTGGTGCTCAAAAATTAGAAGACGATGAAGATTGAATACATCTCTGCCACTATGAAAAATTTTCATATACTATTCAGAAGACTCTGACTAGGTGCTCGAAGTCAGAAAAGTTAGTGTTAATATTCAGATCGCTGATTCTTAGCAGTACTTTGAAACGCAGGCCATCAGAAATCCAGCTTCTGAAGGCTTCAAGGCTTCTAGTTATTGATGCTCCATTTCAGTTGGTTAAAGTAAGATCTTATATGATGATTAGTTTGTTAACAAGAAGTTACTTGTTACTTTGACTTGTTTATTTCCCATTGGGTGAGAAATAAAAGAGACTTTTAATTTACGGGAAATTTCTGCTTTGAAATGCCAAATATCTTTTACTCATTGCCAAAATCATTTCAAACTATCAAATTTGAATATGATTTAAATGTGCCCGACCGAAAGTTGCTACCTTGACGTGGTGGTCGGGCTTGAACACCGCAATGACCCAACAAGCTATACTGGCTGAGACTTATGTCGTTTGAGGTCCTACCATGCCAGAAAGGTTGTTTGGATAGCGGTTAGACAAAAAGCAGTTACCCAACCCAATGCTATGACTAAAAGTAAATCACAAAATATCATGCCGGATCGGTCGGGGCCCGGATTAACAACGACCACGCTTCCTGCTGCTGTGTCACAGGGCAGAAGTGATAAATATGCTACTGAGACACACCAAATGAAAAAGAACAAACAAAAGCAGGCTGCGTGTGACCGGCCTCAAGCAGTTGTCCCCTGGGCTCTGCGGTCACGCAACCAACTTCCACGGTGTAGGCAGCCGGGAAGTAACAATCGCCCTTACAATCCGAAGTGCACGCGAAACCTCTCTAATCCTCACTCATCTTTGTCTTCATCTTCATCTCTACTATCTTGCCTTCTTTCTACTAATGCAACTCCTCTACTTGATGACTCTTCACTTTCTGATTTAAATGTTTGCAAAAAGATGCTAACACTTTCAGATGTTTATAAACAGACTTTCTTTTAATCGTATCAAAGATGTGTTCAGAACTGCGTTGTGTAACGTCACTAGCAATATGCGACACTTTCACTTGTTGTTTGGTTGGTTATTCAAAAATTACTCATGTCGTAAACATCTCTCTAGCCATTGATCTAAGATATCTTATTATTGTTGTTGTATCTCTGCCATCTATTGTTTTGAATGTAGAAATGACAATTTCAGAAAATATTGTTTCTTTGTACTAATTCAGATGGAGGGCGTGTCATGCGTTGAGAACACTAACATTAACAGCCTTCGTTTGATTTCAAATACTTATTGGTCTTTAATACTCTGAGTTTATTCTTAGAGACTTTACTTTTCTAATATTTTTATAAGATACCTAGTTTGGATTCACTTGAATACTCATGTATTGCGTTTTTGAAAAAACATTTTCTCTTAGCTGTTTACTCTTCTAGTTATGTTCTGTGACTCTTAACTTTAATCTTACTGTATTGATTTTGTAGACAAGGCCTACTATTTTGCTTCTGAATAAAGCTGATCTGGCGGAAAAAGTTACTGATCGAGAGGCATACAAGGCTCGAATCCTAGAGGCATCAAAGATTGTCAACCGAAGTCCAATTGAAGTGTACTATACTCAACTAAATGCGCCAGAAAAACAAAAACGAACTCTGAAAAGAATAATGTCTAGGTTGGTAAGCTACCTATCATGTTAGAATTACATGATTTGTGTGAAAGTTACTAGTATTTCTTTAATTTTAACCCTGTTCAATTTGCATATTCTTTTTAAAATTTACAGTCTACCTCATTTGGCTGCCAGTGCAGGAAATATTGTTAATTCTACTATAACTCTAATGGTTGTGGGTATACCGAATAGTGGAAAAAGTACATTGATTAATGCTTTACGCGGAATTGGACGTGGAGGTCCTGGGGGTGCAACAAGAGTTGGTCGTAATGCAGGTCAAACTCGTTCTGTTGGTCAACCAATTATCTTGTGCAGGGGAAAACTAAACAACATGCTGGATGAGACTGACTATCAGATGAATAGCTCAGATGATTACAGAATTCAAGTTTTTGATACCCCCGGTATTTTGGAACCTCGTGCTCAAACTTTAGCTGAACGATTAAGTCTTTGTGTTTGTGGAGCTGTTAATCTACATTCCGTTCAGCAAGGCAAGTCTTCTTTTTCACTTACGGTAGAAAAAATCAATAAGTTATTTTGTTTTTGTTTATTTATCAGTTAGACAAAGCTTTTACTTTTGTCTCGATTAAACTTAAGGTTATTCAGTAGAATGGTAATGCTGTTACAGTCTTCAAGTTATTCAGGAAATTTCAAGGCTTGTCACAAACTGACTTCAGTTAGAGAACCATTTAAAACCAGGGGTTGATAAACAGCTGTTTCACCCTTGTGTGGTACTCTTCAGCACTTCGCATCCATAACCCCACCAAATATCGAACCCAGGACCTTCAAGTGACAAGGTGAGCTCGTATAGCATTGAACCACTGGGACGGAATCCGATGGATGGCCCATAAATTCTAACTTCTGCCACTTCCGCCATTTCATGATCAGTCTTTAAATCAATATGTTATAAGTTCAGTGAACTGAAATGAGAACCGTAGTCACTTTGTTCTGTCTGCGCCTGCCTAATATGTCTGTCTGCCTGTGGTACCTTCCGATTCACTAAGCCACGCAAATATAAAAAAACAAAGGCTGGCCTGTGACTGTATATTGTAATCGCAACAACAACAACAACTATTAGGAAGACAACACGTGGTATTTATAGTTTTCTTCACAACAATAAAGTCGGCCCCACAGCATAATTAATCACAACATGCGTGAGAGATGATCATATACCACTTTATGCGGGATCCTATTGTGGTGAGAGCTGGCTGCTAGCCAAAGTTGGTAGACAGCAATTGACGTCAGTCTTTATGTCCCCAATATTGGTGGCCAGAAAATGAGAACAAAGGCTTTGCGTAGGCGGATACAGTTAGCATATGGATGATCTGACACAGCCACAAAGAGATGTAAGGTTAACTTTCTGTGAGAAACAACCAATCAAAAGACTGTATTTTCTACTAGCAGTAATCTACAATAATGTACATTAAAATCTATAAATATGTGTTGATTTTCCTTAATAAACGATCTGTTGCCTGACCCTTGTCTTCTGCTGTTACACTATGACAATCAAATCCCTACAAACCAAAACTTGAAAGCATTCAGGAAATACTTTGGATTAATTTTATTTATAAAGCATAATTACATGGTGTTTTGTGTTGTGCAAGACTTCATAGTTAAATGTGCTGCATATACAAGTTGTAACTAAACATAAGAACTGAAGTTTAATAAACTGATATTTGGCTCACGGATATAACACTTACTGATTTGGCTGTCTGCCAGAATATATATATATATATATAATGTCTTAATCAAAACACTCTTATTTGCAAGAAATTTGGTTTGAATAATATCTGTATACCTTGTCTATAAGATAATCGACGATAACTGTAAGAAAGACACGCACTGATTTCATTCTAGTGGTTCTCCGCTGTACGGTTCTTGGAAAACGTCATCCACATCAAGCTTCCTTACTTTCAGAAAGGAAGGCTGAATATCATTTAGAACGACGGAGATTCATCTGCTGCTTGTCGCATTGAGCATTCTTAAGATTTTTACAAGTTTTCATTTAATTATTATCTCTGAGTCTGTGGTAGTCGCATTACATTTATTTCTTAATATTATGTATGCTTTTCCGACACACAGTAACTTGTAGTGATACAGTTTTGTGCAAAGTTCTACATTTTTGGGTTAGACAATCTCTGAAATGTCTCTTAATGCTCGGAAAATAAAAATAACAGTTGTAACAGTGATTTCGTACAGAGGCAAACTCGTCATCTGACGACGTTGTTACAGAGATTAAGTACTCTATCAGTATTCCGTATCAATTGTATTTTTAATGTTATTGTTGAATCGTCTACACCGTAGAAGTATATTTATGACCATTATTTATAATGTATAGTGAATTCTGTGTTAGTACTTTGTGTTATTGATGTTCATCTAATTGTATACAAGATTTTAAAAGGAAAGAAAGACTATATGTATTTCGAAGCATCCTAATGGTGAATTTCAGTGAAGTAGGAAACAGTGTAAATACACTAAGTCAATGAAAATACAAAAATATCGTACAACTGTTTACAAAGAAAACTCCACTAAACTGTGTTACGTCAAGCTTCTTCAGTTTGATGTAGAGTGTGCACGATATTTGTTGTAAGTGTAGTCTATGTACATATATCTTATGATAAATGCAGATGTTTATAAAGCCGTTACATTTACTAAAATTCATTGAGAATGTGAAATTAGAAACTGACACGAAAAATGGAGGTTTTTACTAGGCCATTCAGATGTCGTTGACTGAAACACAGTATTATGTATATATTAAGTCTGTGTGTAAGACTTATTGTTTAATCCTCTGTGAACGGTGTTGAATCACCCAATTCATCCAGAAGTTTGCATCAAATTGTTTTCTTTTGCCAGCTTTACCAACTTATACTCGATTGGAGTATTGTGAAATGACTATTTACGAACTGACTGACTAACTGGTTTCAACGTAGAACTTTATACAGATGTGCAGCAGTTCGAGTTGCCAAACTCCCTCCATGTAGCCCAAAAATCAAGAGAAGAAAGTAGAGATTCAACGGAGATATAATAAACAGCAGTGTGAGGCAAAAAGAATAGTAATATGGAAGAACAATAGAATTTTATTGGAAGTGATAAATCCCAAAGATTGAATACATCTGCGCCATTACCGAGAACAATTTTGAGCCATATCACCGACTGTTTCCAGCCACTGGTTTTTATCACCGGGAAGAGCCCAACTACACATCCCTACGTGACTAGCTTAAACCAATTGTTGTGGATTACACTGACTGATGCCATGTTTTGGTTTGACCACCACTAGCTTTTTCCAACCTGATCAATCCTTTGTCAGTTAACATTGGCCGTCGAGGGAGGCAATGGCTAGACATGCATAACACATGTGCTTACCCATCTCAATCGGTGTCACTTCACAATTTCGTCGATTAATTTCCCCTGCTTACCTAGCACTCGACACCTGACCTCAGTACTACTCACCCTATTTGCCACCTAACACGGGAGATAGAACTCAGGCACCTATAATCAATAACAACTAGCCTTTTCACGGCTTCCACTTTCAATGGCTATGTCTCACAGTGAACTGCCGAGCAGTACACTTCTCGTTTGATCGACAGCCGTAATTTACGAACAGTTAGCGTAGAAATAAAAACATGAACAAATTAGTTAACATCCTTCCCATGTACACTTGCTAATTGGTAATTGTTTCAATGCAGTTTTTGTCTGTGCACTTCAACTGTCTCTTGCATAACTTACACTATATCATGTAATATAATACTGTATGTAATATTTAATAGAAATCTGTTTCTCACTTTTAGAAATACTAGTTGACTATCTATTATTCTGGTGGAATTATCGTCAACGGACAGAGTATATTACTCGTCTCGATCTCTCTGGTCCAATAACAGATGTCAATGAATTGTTAATCCATGTATGCATGAAGAATAATTTTTCTCTGATTACTCAAAATCCACGTTGGCAAGCTCGTGAAATTGAGCATATCGATGAACTGTCTGCAAATAATAGTACTAGTCGAGAGATAAAGATACCGGATATACGACGTGCTGCTTCATATATTCTTGATCTATTCAATAAAGGACATTTTGGTCGAACTACTTTTCTACCTGAAGATGAATTGGCAGCTAGTAAATTTTTTCATCTTGCACGCAGACATTGATAGAGTTCGCAGTTTGGTATCCTCTATGACACTTGTAGATTTTTGTAAATAAATAATTAACTTATCTAGTGATGGTTTTTGTTATTGTTTTCTTGAGCCCATCTCCCCATGTGTATGAGTATGTGTGTGTAGTGTATTTTGTCTAGTTGTTCGATCCTTGTAACTGAAGTACGTTTGTATGGTCAAGTAACATCCTGATTGTTATTTCCCTTAGATGGTAATGATTGTTTTAGTATTGTTATATTGATTTTGTTTTCATCTATTCTGTTGTATGCATTTATTAGGAGTAGAGTTGAGTTAACATTTTTCTAATCGTGGAAAATTCTCATCAGGACATTAGAGAGAAAGGAAGAAGAAGTTTAGCAAAGTTATCTTTTCGACCATTTCATTCTCAAAAGCAGCTGTACATTTGCATTTATATACATAAGTCTACATATATACAACTATTATTTAGTTCCACATGGTAACGAAGGAGATTAATGGTGATAATAATTTTCAACTTGACATGAAAGTTTGAAGGTAGTGAATATAGATTACAAGAAGCTTAGAGACAAGATTACACATGATTAGAAAATAGTTGCGTTGTATGTAAAATCAATTTTTTAGTGAATACTTGTCTGAACGGGATGAGCATAGAAACAAGTTGAGATAATAGTTGTTATGTTATTTTTTTTATCACTGAAATAATAATTTTTTAGCTTAACTTACAACTCTGTTGAAAACCATCATGGAATGGCCAACTGACAAACTTTCACGGTTGAATACCTGCCAGTTGAAAAAAAAACTCATTAGCTCGCTGACTCCACCGTATCAGTAGAATTTGCAGCAGTGACTGCTTCGAAGAAGAGCTTCTATTTCTCAA